ACACGGGAATCAAAAATTAATACAGTACTTTCCATACCTTCGAAATTTCAGGCGAGCTTTTTCCTACTGTTAATCCGAATCAGCAAATTATGTCCATCATTCCCCGTGATTGCAAGGTTGTCAAGAAGTCCCAATCGTTACCAGAACTTTTTAATTTAGAATTTGTTGCCTCGAACATACCAGCGGATGTGAACTTAGTACGAGTAAAAGAAGCATTGGAGAAGAAGACTAACTTGAAAGAAGAACTCCTGAAGATTGGGAAGTACTGGGCTCAATACGCTAACGATCTGTCGTTACGGGACGATTGTGTGTGGTTGGATGGACGGTTGGTCATCCCTTTACCTTTACAAATCCCAGTTGAACCGCGGATACACTATTACCATCACGGTAAAAGAAATATGTTCGAAGCAGCGCGTGACGTCTGGTATCCTTACATGTACCGCAGTTTGGCAGCAAAGGCCACGTACTGTCAGCAATGCACGGAAGCGGGTAAGAATCTACAATCGTTATTACCCAAGGGAGACATGGGTAAGGTCCCAGAACCAAGGGAACCCAATGAATGTTTACAGTTGGATTTCTGGGGGCCGATAAATTACTTGAATGAAAGTAAGAAATATGTTTTGGTTGCTACGGACCGATTCTCAAGGTGGCCGTCAGCAATGGTTACTACCACTAATACGTCTGATAAGGTCTTAAAATTCCTTGAAAAGTACATATCGCATCATGGAGTACCTCGGAAGATCCACGTTGATCAGGGATCATGTTTTACATCTAATAAAATTAAAAGCTTCTGTAACGAAGAAGGCATCGAGCTAATGTACTCCCCAGTGAATGATCATCGAGGCACGGGGTCCGTTGAACGGACAATAGGAAGTTTGAAGAATTTTGTCCTAACATATGCGACGGAAAAAGAACATAAGTCTCTAGAATCTATGGTCGATAAAGCGCTAGGCGCCCTACGATTCTCCAAAAATGCAACTACTAAATTAACACCTTTCGAAGCTCACCACGGCAGGAAGGCCAATACCGTTTTACGAAACCTTACGAAAAAACCAAGTTTGAAAAATTTGAATTGGAAGAACGTCTTAAAACAAAAATGTTTGTGTTTAGACGAAACTGATCCTGAGATGAGTACAGTTGCATTCCCCCAGCATTCGAATTGGGAGGAGAGGTCTGATCTTACATACGCTCCAGCTTTGCGAAGGGCCCCTATCACGCTGGATAGTGACCAACAAATGGACGCATGTCCAAGGGAGGTATCGGAAGTTGCCCCACAAATCCAAGGGAGTGGAGACACTGGCCCTAACATCCAGGGGAGTGGAGGAGGACGCAACCTATACCAGCGTACTACCAGCAAGACCCTAAATCGGTATAAATTACTAAAATCCAATGTAATCTCTGAATCCGAACATACTTCAAAACTTAAAAACGGATCCGTTCTTAGGAAAAGTGCAGTGGCATCAAAACCGATGCTACGCTCAAGGATATGCTAGCGAGCGCAAAGAAAGGGGCAGTCGTGAGCCCGAAATCAAAAAGAGACCACGCAGACGGTTCCAGTAGCCACCTTCGAGTCCGACAGTTCGGATACTGAAGACTATCAGCCATTGAACATTCCGGTAAGACTACCGGTAGAAATGCTAGCGAGACGCGAAGCAATTGCGGCGGGACAAGGCGCAAGCGGCAGTACGACAATAGTGGAAGGAGGAACGGGAGCTAAAGCCAAATCCAGAGTGACAAGAGCTATGCGAGGAAAAGGGGGCCAAAGAAAACAAGTGAAGGAAAGCCAGGAACGTCCAGCGCTGGTGGCGCGAGAGTGCCTTGTAAATAGCAGTCAAGAAGAAGACGTTGAATCAGGCAGTCAAAGTGAAAGCTCGGGAACCAGAAGGAGTACTAGAAGGAGAAAGCCAGTAGACAAAATGGGAGGATTTATGATCGAAACTATCCAGGGGGCGGAACAAACAGGAAAACATCCAGGGGAGAAGGAAAATGAATCTTATTCTACATTTATTCAAAAACTCGTTAACTCAGGGAGAGGGATGGCCATAAGCCTAAAACTCAAGTTTGTTAAAACTCAAGTGTTTGTTGTATTATAGTTGAGGCGGCAAGTTGAAGGTGTAGTTATTATATTTAAATTTAAATTACTATGTATTTAAATTTTACATCCATACGGAAATGTCAGGGGCTACAATATGTTCAGTTGTCAATCATCCTAGTTGTCAATCATCCTAGTTGCTATTCTTTATTTCTCATACTTTAATTAAGTATGAGTTTGGTACCTGCCTGTCAATCAACTAAAAGCTGTCTAGCTGTTATGTGTTGACCTCTAGTTCACTCTCTTATTTATGCGAACTAGAATACAGTCAATTGAGTATTTAACAGCCATCTTTTTACAATCCCTTGTTACTACCTTCCGAACAAAAGACTACGTTTTAAAGTTTCTGTCCGCTTCTTTTGTCTCATGTCATTAAACTGTTTCTTCTTGTCAGAGAATCTTCGATCTTCAACGCCAATCTTATCATCGTCGCCAATTTTTTTAATAGGTTTATATAGATCAAAAAGACCTTTTTACTCAGTGGTCTGAGCACGAATTTTTCGACAGGGAACCTTTCCCACAACTTTTGAAGGCGCAAGAGAATGTTTTTATTGCGAACTATCTCTCTAAGCATTAGTATTTTTCGGCACTTCAGGGAATCTTTCAGAAACTAGGTTTCGCCAGCAAGAATTGAAAAGCTATTGTAAACTAATACCACAGAGGGTACCCTTCGGAAAAATTTGCCAACTGGTTCTACATTTTACGGGGAGCGGTGTTTAATTGGTTACGTCTGCGTCTCTCAACCGAAAGGTGGAATTTTTGATCTTCCTCTGACTGGCTTCCTCAGGACTTCCTTCTGATGCAAAGAGCCGTGCTTGCTATTCTGGCTTTCATGGCGGCGCGGAGGTTTTCTTTAACCAGAAAAAGATTTACTTGATCTAGCATTTTTGTGATAAATCTTGCATTTTTGTGATTTGGAGATGAGATAATCACTATCCAGTGAGGGTGGGGGGTGTGTAATAGGTGACATGGTGGTCGTGAATCGTGATTATGGGGATGAACGTGTTCGTTCGCGTTCGAGTTTTGAAGAGAACTGCGATAATTAGAATAAAAATCTGCAACAAAAAATTGGTTATATTGAAAACAAAAATGGATTTTATTCCATCCGTCGAGAAAGTCGAAAAACTAAAAAAAAATAACGAGTTTTTAAAATTGTCGGTCGAGAAAGTCGAAAAAGTCAAAACATATCGAATTTTGGTCGAGAAAGTCGAAACATATCTGAACTGGGTCGGACACTTTTTTGTTGGTTCGAGAAAGTCGAAACATGCAAAAGTTTGGTCGATACGGTCGAAACATACCAATTTTTGGTCGTGAAAGTCGAAACATAAATCGAGCACCTCGACCCGGATACTTATCCGCGTCCCAGTCGAAAGATAGCTGGTTCGAGGCCCACCATGGTTTAAGCAGTCTATGCTTGTTTCAAGGTGTAAAGGTAACACTACCCAGCAAAAAATAATTGCAGTTAGGTCTGTATTAAAAACGCAGCCGCGGCTATTATTAAAACGCCTCCACCCCCCACCCCACCCTCAGGGATTGGACCCCCTGAACAATCAGAGGATACCCCTTTGTATACTTTTTATGATAACCATTTTCGGCGGCCAACCCTAAAAAATTTTTAAAAGCGCTTTTGGCGCCTATGGATACTTAGTGTAAAAAGGACTGCGCGATTAAAAAACACCATTTTTTGGTTTAAAAAATTCCAACACAGTGCCCAAAACGTTCGATTTGGTCGACATAATTCTCGAAACTTTTTTGAAAATCCCCCCTACCCTCCCGCACAAAAATCCTTCCACAATGATAAAAAGTCTGATACGCCGAGAGTAATTTGAAGTTTTTCTGAAGCGTTTAAAAAACTATCTAACTAGCTCCCTTGCAATCTTTTGTTTTATTTCAAAAAATCTTCACATTCTCTTAAGTTAAGAAGCCAAGACAAACCTCGTTTTTTGCACGCGTTTTTTCTTCATGCTATATTTTGAGCTCGGGAAATTTCTTTTTCTGGTCGGCTTCCAAGTTTACCTCAACTTCTATTTAGTTCATAATTCTAACCAAATTTCACAATCCTCAAGTATTTATATCCCGCGAAGTTTAGAAGGGCCTTGGGGTGAAAATCGGTGCCTTTTACACGGTGAACGTATCTCAAACTCGATTTATATACCTATTGGGACCATACTAAATGGCCTACTTTTGACTACAAACTTGGTGGTTTGTAAATAAATTAGACTCGTGTATTACTTGTAATGCTGTTCCACGTAGTTTAAATCGATTGTGTTCATTTGACAAGTCTTAAACGCGTCTGCCAAAGAATCCAAGTTCATGCTTGCTTGAACCATTGAATATTTCGATTTGACTGCCTCTTTTTTGATTTCAAAATGGCATGTTTATAATTTTGTTTGGTGTCTTCAAGATCTCTCGTACGCGCCAACGTTTCTCGCTTCAAAAAAGATCGAGTTTACGAATAGCTCAAACTCACAATAAATTGAAGTATTTACACTTTCATTCAAATTTTTTATCCATTTTACCCGTCCCAAGAAAGTATTAACAAAATCTGTAATCAGTAATAACAGCTATTATTTGCTTTTTGAACCTAAATCCGCGAACCCGAAACATTTTAGCGGCCAAAGGAATCCTTGTCGAGATAAGAAATTTAGTCTCACTGGGAAACCTTTAAGTGATCACACTTAGATTCTTATCAAATTTAAAATGTCTGTGATTTGAAATATAATTTCAGAATAATTGTGCCTGCCTCATTTTGACAATTATAATTCAAATTGAGGTATAAAATAATTTCAATTCACAGCCTTGTTGCTTACGTTTGACAGTACAAGGTGTAATTGCCTTTGATTAGTTAATGAGAAAAATTGCTACATTAGAAACGCAAGTCTGGGGTTCGATTCCTGCAGAGAAAACAAATTAATTTATATTTTAGCCGAAAAGTTTAAAATCATATATCAATTTTTATCATGACTGCTGCCGAAATCATCTTTTCGGAACTGGATAGACCCGAATATAAGTCGGGTAAAAGTGATTTGTTTGTTCCGTGGGGGCATAGAAAAAGGGAGCCGACAATTAAACCGACTGCACTGAAATGGAGAAGTCTTTCATCCCAATTGATTGTACAGAAGAGTTATTCGTCATTGTTGGGGGGAGCAAAACAGAACAGCAATGGCGACGATGATGCGTCAGCTTCGAGTGGTAAGTTCAAAGAGTATACTCATCCATGCTGTTTGATTGGTTTTTTGAAAGTAACCGGTAAGAGTGCTGGAAACTATTTCGAGCAGGGGCGGATCTAGGATTTTCTCGAGGGGGGCGGATTTTCAAAAAGTTTTCGAAAAAATTGTCGACTTCTTTTAGTTCGACAAAATTGATTTTTCGAGATCTCCCAAAGCACTGTTTTGTCCCTATTTTGGACAAAATTTCTGCGCCGCAGGCAAAATTTTAAAAATTTTGACCGAAAAATTGCGTTTTTTCGGCGCGCGCTCCCCCTCAAAATTAGTATATATTGGCGCCTAAGGCGCTTTTAGAAAAACTTTAAGGTTGGTCGCCCAAAGCTGGATTTCTTAAAAATACCAAAGGGGAGACCCTTTGGGTCGGCAGGGGGTCGAATCCCTGAAAAGGGACATCCGCCCCCCCCCCCCCCCCCCAGCCCCATCTCCCCCCTAAATCCGCCCCTGATTTCGAGGGTCGGGTAGGTTTTAAGGTCCTTATTTTATGCTTAAGCCAAGGTGACCACATTTCATTTCAACTCCTCAGAATTGAGGGCCAAAAATTGGCGGACGCGGAACCGAAAAAAAAGGAACCCTGGGCAGTTGCTGTTCCTTTCGGATGTTTTTTTTTTTTTTCAGGATTCCAATTGGAGAAATTTCTAACACTTTATTCCAAAGCCACCTGTTTCATTTGGAATGCTAAATTTTAAATTTTCAACTGAGTGTTTACTGAACTTAGTTTATTTTCGATTTCTAAAGTATTATAACTAAAGCATCCTGGTATCATAAATCAAATAAATCTACCATATTTTATTTCTTTTCGGGCTTTTCTCACAAATGTTGTCTAGTTTTCCCAGACTTTCTTTAGGATTATACTAAGTCTTTTTTAGGGTCTATGTCCAGAACTGGTTTGTAACAACTTTTAGGCTTGGTTCAGACTTTGTTTGGGTTTGTTCAAACTTGGTTCAAACTATGAAAGTGTGTTCAAACTTTGTTTGGATATGTCCCTGAGACTGCTCACACTATAATTGAGACTTCAATCCTTGTTATAAAAACTTTGATTGCAGGAAAGACTCGGGCCGCTTTTGACATTGAATAAAAATCATTTCTCCATTCTTCATTTAAATGATACTAGATCAATAAGTTAAACTTTTATTTCGCTGGGAAATCTGATAATTAATTTTCCATTTTCGAAATCAGAAGTCGATCACGGTTTTCGTGACCTTTACACTTTAGCTGTCCGATAGTGGAGGTTGCCTTCCTTTTAACAATGGAAATGCACTGAACTAAAAAAAAGAAATTACAAGTCAAACTGCGAAAAATCAAAACTGAGCGTGATGAAATTTCAAGACTTTCCTGAAAGAAAAAAAAACAACAAGAACTATATAAGAGTACTCACTACATTCACTACTCTTAATAATGAAACTGTCAAAACACAATATCAATAATTGTTTTTCGAATATTGCAATTAAATGTTTATTAGAAGCTTTTGAGCATTCATATTTGGAGGCAAGATTTTTAACCCCTGAAAGTTCCCTGGCAGCACCCTACTACAGGGAAGAACTTCAAAATTAAAAAAAAAGTCATACCTCGAAAACTATAAGGATTTGAGCCATCACGTTTGAAGGCAAGATTGGCAAACCCTGAAAGTAGCTTGACAGCACCCTACTACAGGTTAAAGAAATTTAAATTTTGAAAAAAATATATTTTTTTTTGATTTTTTTTTTGAAAAAATCACTAAAAATGTCGTATCACAAAAACTACAAGGATTTGAGCATTCATATTTAAAGGCAAGATTAACAACCCCTGAGAGTACCCTGACAGCATCCAACTGCAGGGTAAGAAATTTTGAATTTGAAAATTAATTAAAATAATTTTCGAAAATTTTTTGAAAAAATCACAAAAAACGTAACATCTCGAAAACTACAAGGATTTGAGCAGTCATAATTAGAGGCAAGGCTCGGAACTCCTTGGAGTACTCTGATAGTCCCCAAATACATTGTTGGGATTTTCAAATTTTGAAGAAAAAGATGTCGTTTAGTTTTTGTAAAAAAAATTTTGAAAAAATCACAAAAAGCGTTATATCTCGAAAACTACAAGAATTTGAGCATTCATATTTGGAGGCAAGATTTTCAACCCCTTAAAGTACACTGAAAGCATCCTACTACAGGGTAAAGAATTTCAAATTTTGAAAAAAAAAATGATTTTTTTTGAAAACTTTTTGAAAAAATCACAAAAAACGTCATATCTCGAAAACTACAAGGATCTGAGCCGTCACATTTGGAGGAAAGATTCGCAATCCTTGATAGTACTCTGACAGCACCCAACAACAGGGTAAGGGGAAGTTTGGTAAATTATGTTGGAAATGAAATTTTCTGAAAATTTTTGAAAAAAATCACGAAAATCGTCGTATCTCTGACACTAAGGATTTAAGTATTTTTAAATGGAGGCCAAATTCGCAAACTTTTGGGGAATCCTGACAGCATCCCACTATTGGGCTGCTATTGTTAAACTCGGTGGAATAACACTGAATTCAAACTGGAAAATCGAAAAACTCTTAACCATTGCAATATGCGAAATAGCTTAAACATGCAAAGATATTAAGTTGAAAAAGCTTAAACGTGGCGAGATAGTGAAGCCTGCATTCAAATATATAATAGATAATAGATTAAATAGTTTTATCTGGAAGAGTTGAACGAAGTTTTTAGGATCTTTTCAACTATCCCCATACGGAAAGAATATGCCCCTTTCAAAAAACTGATGTATCATTTTAGCTTATGTGAATTTTCTACCTAGTAATGAACATTCTCCCCCCCCGCCATTTTTCAAGCGGGGATTTGAAGAGATTCCAGTTTCAAAGTGGTCGTCGTTGGGGTAAAACTTGGTGCCAAAATAGTAACAAATGGAAAGAAGGCGAGGGATTGACAAAGAGGAAGAGGTTGTTATAAATTCCTTCCTCTCTTAACAGTTGTTAAGTTTCTCTCAAAATATCACCCCTAATTTTAGCCAAATTCGCCGACTTCAAATTCAAATTCCATTCTTTTGTTACCAAAATAAACAAAGCTTGTTATCTGAAATCAGATATATAGATCTCAGCAGACAAAAATTAAGTGCATTCATCAAATTCGAAGTTTCGTCTAATTAGAATGATCGCCAAGGAAATTTAAAAAAAACGCCAAAAGGCTTTTCGGAACTGTCTTTAACTGTATACTTGTATTTTTCCGCTCTGCCAAATGGTTTTTACACATTTAACTTGATGTACGCTTGGATAGTTTTTGCTATACACTTGCTAAAGGGCATTTAGCTTAAAAAAGGACCCGCGTCTTATTTTTTCATCCGACTGTGTTTGACGGTATAGATAGGAAACGTTGACAAAAGTTCCATTTTTATCTGAAGCGCATCCGCGCATCAATACAGTGACATTTTTAATTTTCCACATTTTCATATTTTTGTCTATTTAACTCAGAAACGTTAAACCTACACTCGCTAAAAAAAACGCTTGCTAAATCGACCAAATTCCCAGTTTTGTTCTATTTTTGACCTTTAAACTAACTTATTATAAATTACATCCGAAAAATAGGCGACATCAATATTAGCAAGAATTGAGCCGCCATTTCAAAATTATTGATAACAGTATAAACAAAAACAATCAGCAACAAAAATATTTTAAAAAAAACAACAAATTGTTGGTGAGAAAATGGGAGACGAAAGAAGACGACGCAATTCGAGGTTATTGGCCAAAACTTTCCTCTGGTTTTTAGGCGCCTCGGACGAAGAAGGAAGGATTCGATTGGAGTCGGCCTCCGATTTGAGTCGGAGGGGATCGGCGGCACTGGCGTGTAAAAACCTCAGCGCCAGCATGGACCACATTAACATACGCAACTTCAAACAGAGCAGAGTTAGTAACACAAATTATCTACTCTTTATTTTTTTTTCAAAAACAGCCAAAACATGGACAAACTGAAAAAAAAATCGGTTTGCGTATGTTTTTCTACCCTGTGTTTTCATGACAAACACAAAGCACCAGATGTTTCGAACGAATTTCGGTTACTTCATTTGCTTATATTACATTTCTTTTGCGGGGGTTTTTCAAAACTTTCGATAACTCTATCGAACTTTTTTCGTCTATGAACGAAATAACTTTCTATTCAGACTCATTTTGGCTTCCAAATTAGTTTTTCATGAAGGTTTTTTTTTTCGTTATGAAGGTTTTAAAAATTGCAATTCAGCATATTTTGAGTAAATTATTCGCGCTATACACTGCTGCTATGTTAAATTTTGAGTTGTGTAATAGGCTTCTTCGTTTTTTTCCTTATGAAGGTTAATAATAAAAATTGCCATTCAGCATATTCTGCCGTATACAATTTGCGCTATACACTGCTGCTATGTTAAATTTCGAGTTGTTTAATAGGCTTCTTTTGGTATAAATTTCTAACCATTACTTAAAAAGTTTTACCATAGTTATTGATCAACTAAAAAAAACCAAAATGACCCTTTTTGGGGCAAATTTAGGTTTCCGAAAATCGCAAACTAAATTGCACCAAATCAATTCTGCTAAGAAAACTGAGCAATTTTTATTCTCTTTTAAATCAATTTGCGCTTTTCTTGCATTTGGTTAACATTTGACAAAAATTGATGCCTTCCTTCGAAAATTTTGTCACTAAAATTTATGGTGCAATTTTGGTTAGGAAGTTAGAACCATTAATTTTATTTTTAAAATTGAAATAATTTAGTGTTTTTTAGTTTACGCAGAAATAACCCTTAAACATCAGTTGCCCAGCAAATTTCATAAAAAATGAGCATCTTCTAAAATTAAACTACATTTCAGAAGAGTACAATCTCCGAACAATTGCGTTAATTGTTCAAACATTGATTCTAAAGGACGAACATTGGTGTTAAATATAAAAAAAATTGACATTTTTGGCTCTCAACAAAACTATTTGTGTTTATACAGAGTTCAGAAGATTATACCATTCTTCAACATTTTTTGGCGTTATGAGATATTCATTTTGATGAACTTTGCTCGGCTACGGACCTGGTAGTTATAGGTTAATTTCTGATTGTGCCCGCTCTAAACTCCAAACGAAAATAATTGAATCCAAATTCGTAAATTAATAAGAGATATTTTTCGGTAGCGCAAGCTAGCCACAAGAACCGGTCGGTAATGTCCTTGAGACAAATTGCTCTTTTTTGCGATCAGCCTTAATCAAGGCTGAACCGAATTAGGACCAAAAACAGTTAAAATAGGATGTAGCCCCCGTTTTTAGTATATTAATACTTGGGCAGGTAGGGGACTCGAACCTACGTCAACTGGCAAGTTTGTATAGTCGGTGCGTTAGCTTAGTCAACTCGGCCAACTGTGATTGTTTATATATGCATTTATACTTTTTTATTCGCATCTATACTCTACATTTGCGTTACAACACTGATGAAGTAAAAAGACTGAAAAATGAACAATTTGTATGGAAAAATGTAGGATAAATTTTTGCAAAAAAAATCGCCTCATTTTTTATCCGGCAAAAATTTAGATAAATCCTGTTTGTATTTTTTTGTCTTATCCTAGCCCTAAAAATATTTAACTTTTTGAATTTTTTTAATTTGTCCGAAAAATTTAAATTAGCTTTGGAGCTTGCCTGGATTCATTTTGAAGCAAATTTATAGTGCAGAATAGTTCATAAACTTGCGTTACGCATTCAGCATCATGAATAAAATTTTCATTGTGCGCATGAATTAGTCATGACCAAAGTGACAATTTTCCATCTCACAGAACTTCATGATTTGAATCGGTTGTAAAATATCTTTTTATGTTAAAACTATAGGAGTCGCTATCTTTATTGTGGTGCGGCATAAAACTTTTTGTTAGAAAAAATTATTTGGATTGTCGAAACTGGACTGAAACTAAAAACAACCTCCGGAAGCTCATATGTATCGCATCTCCTAAACCTTTGCAACAATAAAACACTAAAAAGGAATTCTCAGGCTTCATTCTGAAGTTTTTTTGTTTAGTAAAAAGAGAAATTATTTAGTTTCAGCGACTATACAATGACGACTCCTTTCCACTGTGGCAGCGAAAAGGTTAACAACTAAGTGCGGTTAATAAAAATGCGGTCTAATTTTTGTTGATTCGCAGTCTGCTAGAGCAAATAGTACACAAAGATTGCTAAGAAAAAACTTTCTGTAGAGCACTTGATAATGAAATTTTGCAACAAGGCCAATTTAATGCCAATATTTTTTTTTACTGTTTTGAAAACATGTTCAGATGTTTTATTCTGATTTCAAATTACTGGGATGAATCTTAGTTGTGTTACTTATCCAATATAAATGTTTGATCATATCATAAAATTTTCCCTGCTAAAAGTTGCCAAAAATGCTCGTCATACAAGTCCATACTTGGAGAAAATGCTTCCTATGCAATTCAATCAGTTTGAAAATGTCATGAAAAGCATCTTTCAAAACCCTGAACTTTTATGACCAGCATTTTCCCTAGTTTCGAATGTCTTCATTTTATGAAACTGTATAAAAAAGGTTTTCCTAGGATTGAAAAATGACATATTAGCATAGCTTCTATTTATGGTAAAACTGGTAATTTTAACAACTAAAATCTACCCATAAAGGGTGTTTTTTACAGATGAAAATAGTGAAAAAGTGCAATAAGTTAAAACCTCTGTAATTGGGTTCCCGAAACTCCAGAAGTTTTAGATTGCTAAAAACTGATTAGTTAAATCCTAATGTTATTATGCCATGTGGGAGTTGGCTCACAGAAAAAAGAAGTCTGAAAAAACCAGTCAAAAGTTTATGTCACGATAGTTGTCAAAAAATGGGTAGGGAAGGCAAACATATAATCAGCTGTTACCAAGACAAGGATTCCCCATCACTTAAGCAAAAAATCAACTTGTTAATAAATTGTGTTTTGTTTCTCGCTAAAATGATGGGGAAGGCTTGCAAACAGCATACTTGTGCGTTTCAGGGTTTTCCTATGAAACGCACATGAATGCTGGATGGACAAAACAAATGGATGGAGAAAACAAATCTCGAAATCAAGGCCGTTGTCAATTCATGGATTGGGAAGGCCCCGAAACGCACATATTGCTTTTCTATGTCTTTAACATCTTTTTTATCAAAAAAAGTCCAACCATGAACTAAGGGGAGGTTTGAGAGCACCAGATAAGTGCGTTATGAGCAGATTTGTTCAAAAAAATTTGCTGATTTGTTACATTTTTATTTAGATCATTAAATTTGAGATCGACGATGAATCAGTCACCATATGCGTCATGATAACATCAGAAAAAAAAGACGAGAACGAGCTATTGAGCATAAATTGCCATGCGCATAGTGTTACAAAAAAACACAAAAAATAAATAAAAAACAACTTTTTCTATTCTTTTCCAAAAAACGGTTTTTATTGGAATTTGCTATGATATTCCCATGTAAACTAGCTGTCCTTTTTCTATCATATCAGAAAAAAAATCCAACCAAAATTATTACAAGTGCATATAAACCAATAAAGACTTTTAATTTAACACTATTAAACGTGTATAAAAAAGTACAATTTAATTGTGTAAATTTAAAAATTGGATTGATCTGATAAGAAAACCAACCCTGGAATTTTCAAAAATCTTTGGGACTTGGTGAAATCCAGAATTTTCCGTTTGCTTTTTAAGATCGATGTAATATTTTTGTAAAGCTGGTTTAACAAAAACTGCATTTTTGAAAATTTTCTTTGTTTCATCCCACACAGGCTATTGAATATACGAAGCGAAAAATACCAGAGTAAATTGCATCTGGTAACATACAAATCATAACAAATTTTTTGCTTTATTGTTCAGACAATTTGAAAAATGTGGAGGAAATTTGGATTCGAGAGTGTCTTAGTTTTTTCTTTCAGGTAACACAAATAATTATAGGAACGGGTCGAGTCATATATCATATTAAATCCCTTTCAGTCATAATTCATTGCGAGAAAAACCAGTTAAAAGTTTTTGTTTTTGGTCTTATTTCAAGGTAATAAGCTGAAACATTATTTCACTTGAGTAAAGAGTAAAGTAAGTTTTTGGAGTTTTTTAAGTGCCAATTTGGGAATAAAAAAATTCAAAAATCAAAAATTTCATGGAAAAAAATTGAAAAATGTTTTGTAACGATTTTTTTTGTGTTTCTTTTGTCATTTTCAACAAAAACTAATTTCTATTTAGCCTATTTCACTATGAATATCGAAAATGCTCCAAAACTTAATTTTTCGTTCAGATCTCTTAATCACGCCACGCAGAAAAACGACACTCATTTGAAAAAAACAACACTTTTTTTGTTTTTAAGACTATGGCCGGAACATTCTGTGCTACATGCACAGTAACCGGCTATCCTTGTTTGAATTTGAATTAATTTAAGCCGCCAATATGGCTTTGGTAGGACTATGAGTGTAAACTATCCCAAACTGGGCTCATTGGCAATTTTCAACCCTCCATAGCTTTACAAAAAGGTCAGTTGAAACATTTTGTGCGCTAAAGTTATTGATAGTTTTGATAGTTCAATTTTGGTTGATTTCTGAGTCTATGGTTTATTACCCCAAATAGAGCATCAACCACATTTTCGTCACTTTATTTGAAAAAAATGCAATTACTTTTCAATCGCTATCTTCGAAAGTCGAAACACAAAACCAAAACTTCTTCCGAGTCAGACAGTGATTTTGATACTGAATACGCGCCATTCAAGCTGAAACGGCTCCGCAAAATTTGAACTGAATTCAACAATGGAATTTTTGATTATTTTCATAACTTCTGTAAATAATTCGATTCAAGATAGAACCATTTAACTGTTGTGCATGGCTCTTTAGTTTAACGCTTAAAACGACTTGAAAGCGAGTTTAAACAAAATCTAATTTTGCGGTTAAGTGCATTTTCATCCAAGTTTATTCTTGCGATAATGGAAAACTTATTGTCAATATCTGATAACTTAGCAGAAGATAAAAAACAATTCGTTTCGGAAATTAAAGTTTTTGTTAGTGAAAATAGACTCTTTTCTTACAGGCGGCTTTCGAAAAGGGTATCTGAAAAAACAGAGCTAGAAACTGGCCTGATTTACATAATGGATGTTCATGTGAGTTGCTGTCAATTTTCCAACTTTTCTTTTGATCATTTGATAGTCGAGAAATACGATTAAGACCGAAATTTTCTTGGCTGAGAAATGTTCCCTCACTCTCCTACAAAAATCGTCTGGGCTCGACCTCCCAACCTCTGCGTTGAGAGGAAAAGGAACCAATCACTCCATGTTTAAACGCTATTTGGGATCAAATTAAACGTGCTATTCACAACAAAATGGTTGGTTTTTTTTTTCACATGTCTGGATTTTCATATTTGCCATTTTAGAGGTCTGCGCCATTTGCAATCAAAAGAAGATCCATCGTCAATCAGCTCGGAGGAGGTTTTTTAGTAGCATCGAACCATCTCGAAGTTATTCAACAGTCACCGGAGAGATCCAGTGGTTCCGGGGATGAAGGCTCCTCCTGCGACCGGAGTCCAGTAATCGGATTGCGTAGCGGTGGCACGCTCGAGAATAGCAACACAGTTCTAAACGCGTCGCTAGGTTCACTCGAGGAACACCATGACAGGTCACTGAATGCAGAACGACATGAGAGCGACGAAAATATCGGCTACACGGACATCGGCTACGATAGCTTCCACAATGCAACTGTCCATCATTTTCCAGATAGCTTCGACATTGAAGATCAGCCTGACGAAGGCCATGTAACCGAATATAGAGGAGTGTCACGCTTAGCCGAACAAAACAAGGAGTCAGATGTAGCTAATGGGTCGCCTACTGTGTCGGTTTTCAGTCGCCAGGATGTATTAAGACGAAGTTTCCCGCTGTGCAACAAGAAACGATTCGTTTTGGGTGACATGAAAACTCATCTCAAACTGGTAAGTAAATCAATCTTAGGCAAATTTTCAATGAAGCGGAAACTACATAAGAATTATGTAACAATTGCATTACAACAGTGACAATCTATTGTTATGTTGTACAACAACCTTAATTATCGGCTTCCTGGTAAGATATTTTTGTTTTCGGCTTGTTGGCCCTTCGGCTTACATAGAACCCAGTCTTACGAAGAACTGTTTTGGCCAACCGATAATCCATTTTTTAAAGGCACCAATAAAAACAAGTTAAGCATCGGGTACTGGAACTCATTTTTTTTTTCAAAAAAGTCAATTTTTGCAGTGTTTGGTTCCGTGTTTTTTTTTGCATCAAGACCAGAACTCAATTTGGTTGACCGGAAGACAAGTCTCAGATCGGCTCTTATGTTAAGTTTCAACAACGAAAAAAAAGATGAAAAATTAGGTTTTTCGGGAGGTTTAAGTTAACCTGATTATTAAGATATCTAATTCAATAAATGAATTCGATAATCTGCGATGATGGTTTCGAATAGAAAATTTCGTTTCTTTGAGGTAGAGTGAGAGAGAGAGCATTGAATGTATTTGAGGTAACTACCGAAGTCGAAACCACAAATTCATTTATCTATTTAAATGTATGCTGTAAGCGTCAATGTATAATCAAGTTACCATAGCGAATATATTAACGCAAAGCTTCAAAATAGAACTACACCTCAAGTTTGTTTTTCTCAGACGAAAATGGCCTCAAGTTTTGTTAATGTCTAAGCCTCGAATTTATGAACTTTCATAATTTTTTATGAACTTCATTATTAAATGATCAGAAACTGATCCGTACAACTTTTTTTACAGCCGTCAAAATTATTGACCAGAACTTGGTAGTTATCCCTGCATAATTAAAAAGCTACAATTATAAACTCAAAAACGGAATTTCACATGAAGAAGATGGGCAATTTGAAAAAGTTAATGCGTTGTTTTCAAACACCGAAACTTTTGGACTGTTTCAAGCAGCGGAATGCATCGTCGAAAAACTCAAAAAACGCACAAACCGATCAAAAAAGTTGCAAAAGTGAACGAAAACGATCGAGAATGAACAAAAGTCACTTCCTGGCAACACAACGCGGAAACACTTGCATTGCCATTTGGGACCACGTGACGTGCGAACAAGACGAGCTGCAGTTCCGCTGTGGTGACGTCATCGAAATTTTGGACCAGTCAAATCGCAACTGGTGGCTGGGCAAAATGTTCACCCGTGACGACCTCGGAGATCAAACCAGAAATGAGACCAAAAATGCGGGGCAATCAGAGCACGGGTGGTTTCCCAGCATTTTTGTACAAGTAAGTCCAATTATCATTTTAAGTTGTCACTGCTGATTAATAACTACTTGGATGACTAATGATGATTTTAGCAAGCTTAGGAGTTTCAGACCTATCATTGGTCAAAAACTTTCACGGTGGCCTGGGAATCATGTCCATAAGCTAAGGAATAAAATTCAGGGTAGAAAGCAAGATAAAAAAAGCACTGAGGGATATGCCATAATGGCGCGTTTTTCTCTGCGGTAAAAAGAGGCTGCCCGCTGAAAAGATGTTAACCATACATACCATTTTGTCTACCTTTTTTAAGGTCGATCAAATTGATTTTCCGAGCACTCCAAGAGCACTATAAAGACCTTATTTTGACTAAAAATTTTGCGTCGCAGGAAATTTTTTGAAAAAACAGGTCAAAAAAGCCGTTTTCAGGCATTTTTTGGAAAATTTCGACCAAAAAATCTTTGGCGAGCGCTCTCTCCTCAAATTTAGCATATATTGGCGCCTGAGGCGCCTATAGAAAATCTTTAGGGCCCGTCACCAAAAATGGATATATCAAAATAGTACAAGGGGGGCCCTTTGGGTCGGCAGGGGGTCGAATCGCTGAGAGGGAGGCAGCGTCCGCCCCCCCCCCCCCCCCTCAATAGCTGGTGTTTTGAATCATATCAGTGTAAATGATTGACTAGATACACGCTCAAACTGGATTACACGCAATTTTTAGACGAACTTATGCCGTAATTTTATTAAGAGGCTTAAAAAGATCTGAAGAAATTGTTTTGAATTCTATAACGGCGGATGTCTCATCTCGTATGTAGTTAAATGGCTGTTTTAGGACCTGAACGAGACTTGTCGTAGTGTTCAGCAGGATGAGAACATGAACACGATTAGGAAGTACCACAGGAGAGCTTTGTGTGTGAGGGAACTTCTATCTAGCGAGAGAAGCTATGTCAACAGTCTCAAAAACGTCTTAGAGGTAAGAATAAGACAGAGATTAAGGACACCACGACACGCAGTGAATGAATAATTGAGGACCAAGTGAAATAAAACAGCCCGCACCCTCTTTTTTCCCTAGCAAATTGACTCTTATTTTGGTTTTTGATAGCAACCAAAAACTAGTTCTGACTTTCGTTATAAATGCGTAGTTTTGCTATATTTCTGGCGTGGATATCTTTGCTGATATGAAGCGTCGCTCGTTTTTCATGTTCAGATCTACCAAGACTCATTCAAACACAGCAAGTCTATTAAAATAGACGAAGTGAACCGGATCTTCTGCAACATGGAAGAGATCTTCGAGTTCCACAAACGACTCCTCGTCAACCTCGAGAAGTGTGCGGTGGATCCGAGCAGACGAGAGACGAGACTGCACGAGTGGTGTGTGTCTGAAGTATTCATTGGGTCGATCGCCGAGTTCGTCGAAATATACTCCACCTATTGCAATCAGTATCAGTCGGCTATTTCGACACTGAAGCAGGTTCAACGAAAAAAGTCAGTCGACTGCTTAATTGAGGTGAGATTTTAGTTAAAGAATGAACCATATTGCTAAAAATTTTTTATTAAAATGGATTGAGATCTATGAAAAAATTTCTGTGTTGAGAAAAACTGGTCATATAAAGACATGTTTTTGGCTTGTGAGTCGATATTACAGGAGAGTCGATTGAATTACTCGCAAGTAAGCTTTTATCGACGGTTTGAAAGCATGCTTGGTGCCCAAAAAAACAGAGTTATGCTTTTTTTCTGCATATTTTTAGATTATTTTTTGTTTTGTTACCGCGGTCGTGGTTTGAAATTGGTTATACTTGCACAGCAACCGGAGGTTATTGCTTTTTTTGGTTTTTTTCAATTGACTTTTAATGCTATTCATTTATTATTGTTTAGTTTAACGGAAAATTTGATTCCATTTTGCTGCCCAAAACCTGACAAAAATTTTTAAATTTCTTTTTTTGTTTTGTTATTTGCTGTTGTTTATTTGTTTGTTTGTTTGTGTTTTGATCGGCGACAGAATTGCAGACGGAGACATGGGGAGACTTTATCTTTGCAGCACTTTCTGCTGACTCCAATCCAGAAGATCTGCAGGTACCAGATGCAACTCACAGAACTCGTCAACAACACCCAGGAGGACCACCCTGACTACTCGTGAGTATATCATCCACCCCCCCCCCCACCCCCACCCTTTCCTGAAAAACACTTCTTTACAACACTGATGTACGCATAATCGTTTTTAGATGATTTAAAAATCCAATCTTCAGAAAAAAGTTCTCAGCAAAATGGAATCAAAAATGGAATCAAAAAATGGATTATAATTTTTGCGGTTAGAAATCGAACTTATAAATTGATTGAAGCGGCAATTGTTTAAATACTGAAATCAATTATAACAGATTTTTTTTACGACACACTTATCAGTCCCTCCGTCAAAGCCGAAACAGAAACTAGATATAGAAGTGGACATCTGCCAAGTTCGTTTCGAGCTATAGATCGGTATCTGGAACCCCCATCAAGTATTCAGATCATATATCTAAATTTAATCTAAACTTGGCAGATGTCCACTTTTGAAAACTTTTTATCTTATTTATGGGTTCTTTAATTTCAAACCTTACATCTTAATTCAACGCGTTGAGCCATAGTTACACGTAAAACAACAACAAAAAAATTGAAAATTGGGGGGATTGGAAAAGACAAGACATCAATGAGTTTGTGACGTCATGTTTCAGTGAGCTGAAGTTAGCAACTGAGGAAATGAGGCGAGCTGCTTTTGAAATCAACGAGAGGAGAAGAGCATACGAAGCAGCTGCCATTAGTGCAACTAGCAGTCGGTCAAGGTCAGCTGGCGTGAAGAAAACGTCCACTTCTTTTCTCTTTCCAAGCCAGCAGTCGGCTAAGCTCACAAAAACTGCTACTGTAGCAACCACAGATGTTTTAGAAGAAAAAGGTATGCTTCATTCGATTGGAAAAAATCTCAGCGCATATATCGACCCCCTCACCAACCAAAGAATCCCTTTGGTATTATTTTATCACATCCTTTGTCGGCGACCAGCCCTAAAATGTTTCTAAAGGCGAGCCTTTGACACTCGACTCATGTATACTAACTTTGAATGATAGCGCCTTAAAGACGGGATGGATTTTTGTCCTTTTTTTTAGGTCGACCAAAATGATTTTGTAAACACTTCCAGATAACTATAAAGGCCTTATTTTGACCCTAAGTTTTGCGTCTCAGGTAAATTTTTTGAAAAAAAAACTGGTCAAAAAGCAGTTTTTGTGCATTTTTCGGAAAATTTTGACAAAAAAATTGCGTTTTTTCGGCGCGCTTGCCTTCAAATTTAATATATATTGGCGCCGGAGACGCCTTTAGACAAATTTTAGGGTTCGTCGGCCTAACATGGATGTCATTAAATAATACCAAAGGGTCGAATACCTGAAAGCAAAGCGCCCCCCCCCCCCAACCCCCCTCCGCCTTGTATGATCTCATAAATCGCTTGTAACGAGAAAAGTAACATTTCATTTGCTTCCAAAAAAATAAGCATTGTCACATTTATTTCACGCCAAAAATTCCAGTACTATAAAATTCCAAGTGATTTAAAATTACCAAAAAATGCTAGAGAGCAAAATTCAAAGATGTTTATCTCAGAAATGGATTCACTTGACCACCAGCGGATTTAGGGGGGGGGGGGGAGGCTTGCCCTTAGGGATTCGACCACATGCCGACCCGAAGGGTCCCCACTTTGTACTATTTTGAAATATCCATTTTTGGCTGACTGACCCTAATTTTTTTCTAAAGGAGCCTTTGGCGCCAACATATACTAATTTTGAGGGGGGACCCTGTGCCAAAAAAACGTGATTTTTTTGGTCAAAATTTTCCAAAAAGTGCGTAAAAACTCCTTTTTTGGCTCGTTTTTTTCCAAATTTTCAAAAAATGACAAGAATAGAGTGTTCCCTTGAAAAGAACCAGACCAGAACCGGATATGCTTTTGTTTTAATCAAATTAAACCTTTTATCAAGATATGGTACTTTTTTGAATTGAAGATTTTTGAAAATGAAGATATATTTTATTTTTTTATATTTACATATAATATATATTTTGTTTTTATATAATTTATTTTAATGAAGATGATATATCATATTTTTTTAAAATTTCATTCATATTCTGCAATAAATTCAACCGTGTGGTAGCTTGTTTTAGATGCAGCATCCTATCAACGCTCTTGACTGCTTAAATCTTATTATAAGTCCAACGAGAAAAGACAATTTGACAACTTTTTTCCGAATTGATTTTCCGAGCTCTCCCATAGCATTAAAAAGAGACCCTGTTTTGGTCAAATTTTTTGCGCCGCAGGCACAATTTTCAAAAACAGGCCAAAAAACGCGTTTTTAGGCAATTTTTAGAAAACTTTGACCAACAAAATTGCGTTTTTTTGGCGCGCGCTCCCCCCTCAAAGTATGTATATATTGGCGCCAAAGGCGCCTTTAGAAAATTTTTAGGGTCCGTCTCCAAATATGGGTATCTCAAAATAGTAAAAAGGGAGGGACCTTTTAGGTCGGCAGGGGGTCCAATCCCTGAGGGGAAGGGGCGTCCGCCCCCCCCCCCCCTAAATCCACCCCTGATTCATCGTATGCAGGGGCGGATTTAGGTCCTCCTTTGGTACTTTTTAAGAAATCAATTTGCGGCCGACAGACCCTAGATTTTTTCTAAAAGCGCCAAAGGCGCCAAGATATGCTAACTTGAGGGGGGAGCGCGCGCCGAAAAAACGCAACTCCAAAAAGTGTCTTTAAATGCCTTTTTTGGCCTGAGCTCCAAAAAATCAATTTGGTCGACCTAACAAAAAAGTTTTTGAAAATCCGCCCCTCGAGAAAATCCTAGATCCGCCCCTGCACTTGACTTGAAAACCCTGTGAATTCAATTTTTTTATATAAATGTTTAAATTTTCAATTTAATTTTCGTAGCTTGATTTCGATCAAAGTTTGAAATGTGTGATGAATTTTCAGATAGTCTCTCATCCCCTCCGCCCACGAACTCTGCCAAGCAGAACACAAACAACAGCAGTAAAGAGAAGTCAGCGGGGGGAGGGCCTGCAGGGGCGGGGGTGAGTGTGTTGAAAAGAATCCCCTCCAAGAGGTGCTCCAAAAGACTACTCCGCCTATTCAGCCACCCATCTGCCTGACACTAACACCCCGTCAACCCTCCCCCTCCACACCTTCACTAAAATCTCCCCCTCCTCGGCCTGACAGAAGCCAATAAAACCCGAGCCTGATCCGTAATCAAAACTCGGAATTGAGAAAAACTTATAATTGATGTAACGGTACCAGCTACAAACTCTTCCGTTAGTAATCTCTCTTCTCATTGTGAATTAGAATAATTTGAAATTTAAATTTATAATTCAACAAAACAAAACTGCTCAATTCTTAATTGTTACTTAATGTTTTATGTGTCTTAGATGTTGACGCTGCTATTAGTTCTGATATCATTAATTTAATTATTTTTCTGAAGTTTTGTAGTATAACAAAAAATTTTCATACAGTAGGGGGCAGTGAAAATGAAAGAGACCGATGGTTGGAGCTTACCAGAACTAGTTAGTGTTGCTAAAGTGTTTCAAACTTTTCCATAGAAAAAAAATTGTTAACGAATTGCAATTATCTGAAAAAAAAACGCAAAATGATACGAAAATCATGATTTGACAACAATTGGCCTATGAATGCCCGAGTTGATCTCGATAGACCAAAACTGCAAATCGTAGAAGTCGCAATACAAAAAGTCTATGAACAAATGCTAGTCAAACAAGTTTTTTGCTGAAGTGATGTAATCGAAATTTGAAAGAATTTCTATTATTTGAGCTTAAAAGTCGGTGTATCATCATGAATACAAAAAATTTTTCTTTGGCTCAGAGAAAGTAAATGAACTAAAACAACTAAAAAAAACTAATATTTTAAGAAAACTAAATAAAAAACAACTTTGTTTTCCGGAAAAAGGCTAGTAAAATCCATTTATGCAAAATTAAGAATCATTGACAGTTCTAGCTGTTTCCTGTACTGATCGTACTGCAGTAATTGTGTATGGCTACCAATTGTCCGAATATAGAAGTTGCATGATTAGCATTTTAGGTAAAACCAAGAGAAAAAAAGAAAGTGAATGCGAAAAAATTGTCAAATGATAGGCTGAAATTTTTTTAAAAAATGTCGAATGATAGGCTGAAAATCACATGTTTTCAAATCAGACTTCTGTTGCATATGTAACAAAATTGATTGTTTTAGAATGACGCACTGACTGCCTTTTACCTTCTATGGACTACTGTTTGGATTGAAACTTTGATCAAGATTTATAAACTTCTTATTGCTTTTTTATTGCATTTCTTCATTGCATAACTGTCTTTTTTCATGTCATTACTGCTTCATAGACCTTAAAAGGCAGTCGCAACATTCAGGTCTTTGCCCTGATACAAACAGTCTCGTTTAAATTATCTGGACAAAACTTTTCTAATTTTAACTTCAAACGCGTTTTTCTCAAATTGGGTTAAATTTATACAAACAGTAAAATAGAAAGTTGCTTAGAACTTCACAAGAAATAAAATGATGCAATTTTTGTTACAAAAATCGCAAGCAAAAATTTACCCCAAATGTGGGTCAGTTTAGTTTTTTTAATTTATTCAAGAAATCCTATCGAAACACGTAAGTTGATGACAAATATAAATCAAAGAAGCCTCCTACGCAGTCGAACAAATTTTTAGAATTGTAAAACCTCCAAACATCTGCATAAGAGGACAAAGCAAGAAGTTTAAACTAAAAAAGCCAAAATTACCCAATTTTTGGTTGCATTTTTGTGAAAAACTGCATCAAATTAATTTTGAGCACTCTTTACTCTTCAATTTTTGTATAATTTTAATCCAATTTGATAAAAACGCTTTAAAGTTTTCAATATTTTTCGTTTCGTCCCTGTTAACTTAAATCATCACTATAAGGCTTATTAGAATGGGAGGGAATAAATTGAAGAGAGCGAAACGTTGTTTTTGAGTATTTCGTCAATTATTCCACCAAAAAAAATTAATTGACCCTATAAGCCAGTCGTAACACTCATAGCGTCCGGCTAGTAACACGTTAGCGGATATTTAATCCCCATTAGAAATTGTTCTAAAATAGTTCGAGTATTGCCATTTAGACAAAAAAATTTTTGCTTTATGCCGAATAAACAACTCTGTGTTTACCTAAAAAAACATGTGAGGGGTGAGTTTCAAAAAATAACTTTAAAAAGCTTTCTGAATTTTTTTTGTTTTTTTTTTCTTAGGCAAACGATACTTCAAATACAATTAGAAAAATACTTCAAATACAATTGGAAAAATCAGGTTTTTAACCTGATACCCTGATACGACTATTATTGTTTGTTTTCCGATCAAATTGTTTAATTTCATGCGTAAATTGTTTCTTTTTTTTGCAGTTTTAGATTTTTTTGAAGTTGATTGTTTTGTTGAAATGAAATTATTTTTCAGTTCCCGTTTGTTCGACCTCTGAACATTTTTCAAAATTAGTTCAGTTTTCAAGGAATTAGCAACATTTTGGCACCATATACGCTTATTCTCCCTGGCACTTCAAATGTAAATTACCATTACAAAGGTTCGCTATAGATAAGGTATCTAAATATTTATAGATAATTAATTATCAGAAAAGCTTTTCGTCGGCTGAGAATGCGATGAAAGTTTTTTTATGGATGGAAGAGAACACATCAGATAAAGCAACTAGAGTGACAAAGCTCAACGCAAATCCCTGTTTATTAAAGACTCTCAAAGAAAGTGACGGAAAATTTGTGTTTTTTTATTTGGTGCTTTTTTCTTCAGTAAGTTTTAATTTTTTTGGCTATTTTTGTCGTTAATTCTGTATATCATTTAAAAAAATTATAAGACTTTGAGCTCAAACTCAAAAATTGTTGTATAAATTGTCCATAATTGAACTGAAGAGTGCTACTTGATCGTTTTAGGTGCGTATAAAGAACATTTCCGCACAAAAACGTCTTTTATAGCTGTCCAAAAAATTACAAAAAATTCGATAACGAACAAAAAAACTGTCCATTACCAAAAATTTTGATTTTTTTAAACGGTTGAAGACAGCTGAGTCGACTTTTGGTTTGAGTTGACCAGAGGGCGCGCATGGCGGCGATAATTAGTTGTAATTATCGTATAGTCGAATTATAGTTGTCGTATTATCGTATTTCGTAGAGTCCCAAGCTCGCAACACGTTGACGAGACTTTACCGGTCATAACTTTGTTGAAATAAACACAATTCTCGACATACTTGTTTTTAACAATAATCACTTTAGACTGTTTTTTGAACTGGTTTTCATCGGACTGTTTTTTGTTCATTTTCATAACTTCCGGACTGTTTTCTTATGGATTGCTTTGTATGAGCTTGTTTGGTACAGCAATATCTAATCAATTTTTTACTATAGGCAAAATAATTGACTTTGTACTTTGCAAAGCGAGTAGTGGTGGCTTTCAGGAAAAAAGTTCAATGCTAGTACTGCAACCTTCTGAATGCAATAAAAAATGAAAAAAAAATAAATTTGAGATTTTTTTTGTTAACAAGCCATATTAGGAACAAAGTCATAGATTTTGCTTCTAGTAACAAAATTCTCTCAACCAATTTGGAACGATTTCCAAGATGGATTAAAACTACGCTTACGCATTGAAAGCGTGAAATATATCGCGCGTTAATTTTCCTGTCCCCGATTGGCCAAAAATAGCAATTTTAAAAACTTATGAATTTACGAAAAATCATCAAAAGTGAAATATATATTTTTTAAAATTTGAGCTCAGGACAACAATACATTTTGAATGATAAAATTTTCCCGTCAAAAATGGCTACTTGAAAAGCCGAATATTGTCTGGAGAAAAAAAACTACCCCGGGTACAAATAAACCGTTACTTTCGTTGCGAAAGTCTGAACAATCAGCGCGATCCAATTTAGCGCCCCATGTCCTAATACAGCGACCAAAATACTTGCCGCGATTTAATTTTGAACATATAAACCCTACGCTTAAGCCTGTTATAAAATCGCGCGTAAATCAACCCAAAATGTCCAAATTAGCAATTTTGAAACTCGCATAATTTTACCAAAATTGATCATAGATGAATTTTCTTTTATTTTCGATTTTAAGTTAAAGTTGATTGAGACAGTTTCGCAGTTCATGAATGTCTATTGTAAAATTGTTGATCCTTTGTAATTGAAACGTTCACTGCTTACAAAAACAGTTTTGGGATCTTGTTAAGTAAAAAAAATTGAAAAATGCCAAAACTTTGAATTAGTTCTTTTTAGGGGGAGGGGGGCAGTTAACAAGATCCCAAAAGTGTATTGTAAACAGTGAGTTTTTGCTCTTAAATGTGGATCTTGACAATACTTTGGCCAAAAAAATTTAGGTCGGCTTTTAATAGCTTGACAACAGATAATTTCACGTTGAGTTAATCTGTTTTTTTTCCAAATCGAGCGATTGATTAGGCTTCAAAAAATAGGCTAGAAAATTGCGATTGAATAAAACTATGGGTTTTGCCGCTCCCAATTTTTCTAATTGATTTTTTTTGTCTTATCTTTTATTTCCTTTCACACCCATCAATCAAGAATTCTAGTATCTGCACAAAAAAAAAATAAGATAAAAGTTTCAGACTTTAAAGAAAGATAAATAAAATTAGCATTCAACCTTGACACCGAACATATCAAGTAAATGACAAGTGGTGAATCAGCCGACATAATCGCTGGTCCACAGAAGACAGAAGGCAACAATATTCGGCCTTACTCGCTCGAAGTAAGATTTACTCTCAAAATATATAAACCAGTTTTTCCGATACTGGGACAACTTTGTCAACATTTTCTATTTTCGTTCGAATCACGGTGAGAAGTGCTTTAATATGATATATCACTCGAAAAAAAAGAGAAAAACTAAAACACCCGAATACAAAGTTTCTCCCCATTTTTCAAATAGTTGGAACAAAATCTTTTTACCCATCCCCCTTTGCAAAAGTGGAAGTGGGTAAAAAGATTCCTTTCTCATTGCTTCTTGAATGTGGAGTGTTATGAGTTCATGGGCTACATGACTTTTTCGGATCTCCGCATTGCCTGATTTAAGGCAATTATTATACTAGTTTTATTTAACAACGTTGCAAACACTGCCAAGGTTGAATTCTGTCTATTTCGAAAAGTTTGGTGAACTTAGACCAGAAATAAATCAGACTAAGACAAAACAGCAGAATTCAGACATACAAAATCATCTTGAAACGGAGAAATTGTACGAATTAGGTGTGAATTTTTCACAAATGCAAAAGAAGCGAATAAATGTAATGATATGCAGTGCTGATTTAAATTATTCGGACAAAACGAACAAAACTTGAAACTTCAAACGCGTTTTTCTCAATTTGAGTTAAGATTAGACAAAAAGTGAAGAGAACAAAAATGCTTAAAATTTCA